CCCCAAAACCCCAAAACCCCATGAGTGTTTAGAAATTACTGTATAAAATCTGGTAAATTGAGTGATGAAATTAAGATTATTGATTGGTAAAATCATCTGGAATTTGTTTGAACTATAAAAACTCTTCATTCATATTGACTACTCTACAGACTTGTATTGTTACTGGTATTATTCACATTATTACTATTATTGTTGTTAATTTGATTTATATGATTAACGAATCTTGATACTTTACTAGATAAACCACCAGTGCTAAATCCAATCTTCGGTATACTCTCCTTTTTATTGAACTCTTTATGGAGTAATCGCATAAATTCATTGACTTAAGTGAAACTCTTTTAAATCATAAATTTGCCTGTCTAGATCTAATTTTCTTCAAGTTGCCATTAAGCCTCAGCTACTTAGAGCTTTTCTTGTATATACTTATGTGTAACCTTGTAACTGTCTTTAATTAGAATTCGATTCTTGCGCTTTCTCCAATATCTCTGAATTGTTCTAGCTGCACTGTCTAATTTATTGCTAAACTACTCCTTCTTTTTATTACTTTTCTTATATTACTCAAAAGCCTTTAATGTTGATGTTAACCTCTTCTTGAGCTTAGAAATCTAATCATTCTATGAATGATTTTACACTTTCATACTCTAAAGTACAAAAAGTAATGTTTGAATGAATGTAGATAGGTACTGGTATTATCCCAATAATCTCTCATGATATTTTTACAACACTGAATTCAATGTAGGCAATGTAGGTATCCTATTACCATAGCCAAGGTTAAGACAGGGAATATTCTCTAATAACTTAAGTTAGATAAATTTCTCAACCATTTAGAGTTGATCCATATTGATTTAATTTTCATAAGAAAATCTGAGATTTTTATTTTGTTGAGGTGTTTTAGAATGTTATGACTGTTTTGGAGGTAGTTTAGTTTAATCATTAATCATTATGTAAGGTTTACTTTTTGGAGAATTAGCTGTGCTTACACTATTACCAGTTACATACATATCCAAGTAATTAATAGTATTATCAGCCATACATATCATACTAGGTCCCATCATCATAGTTTAACCATTCATTACCCCTCCTAATGTCTAATCAAATATCCCTTAGCCCCCAATAGTAGAGCTATTCAAGTAGCTATTCCCTTGTGCTTGCATAACTTAGCATTAGTGCTATATTTCTACAACTGTTATTAGCTGATCTATAAGATCTTAGACTTGATCTTCTACCTTTATATATTTAACTAATGGATAAGTAGGCTATGAATCGAAGGATTTTACTATTGAGGTAGAAAATGTGAGAATATTTTCTCTTTTTTACTTTAATTCCTTATCATATTTTAGCATCTAAGTCTTTAAAGTCTCTTTTTCCACTTGATACTTCAATGTATCCAGTAGATAGCTGGATAATCCTGAACTCAAATCATCTACTTAAGATTGATGCTGAGATTTCTATCTTCCTATTGCCACTTGAAATCTCTTTTAACGATCTTCAAGCTATTATTTATATTCTTATTACTATTGCTTCATTTCAGTAATCGCCACTTAATGATTTAATTATTAATCTGAATTCTAAGTTTACAAATCCTATATTTATTTGCTCAGATTGGATTCTAATTACTATAGGTTTTTGATTTAATCTTCTAGCTCTAGTTAAATTGTAACTTTTTAACTAATCTGATCTCTTAAAGCTTATATTTGAGTGCGGCTCTCATTTTATAAATTAAGTATCTGCTGTCTAAGTTTTTCTTTATAGTCAGTTTAATTTTTATTCTCATCTAACTACTCTTCAATTTCTGTGGTTTGTAAATCAATGATCTCTTATTTCTCTTTCAATATTTATTTCAACTACAAAACCTACTTGTTTAATTCATCGATACTTTCCATTTGCTTTTCATTTTACTATTTTGTATCTAAAATCTTCTCATTTGCAGCCAATTTTTCCTACTTCATAGTATCTATTTATAATTACATCAATTCAATCTTCTTCTCATGGTTTTTCTTTTGCTTAGCAATATTATTTTCTTGTTCTTTTATCAATTACTATTATTTTTAAACCAATTAATCCTTTTCTTCTTAAGATCTTTACTTTAATAACTTTATTTACTCGTTAAAATTCTGGGTTATTTATTGGTGATCCTATTACTGAGTGGATTTTGAGTCCACTAAGATTTACTCCTTTTCTTTAATAATTGCATTTAACTCGTCGATTTATCTTAACATAGTCTAATTTTCATCTTAAATATGAGTTAATTGGCTTTAAAACTCACTTGTATCAGAGTTAAGATTGTATACCTGTTCTCCTAATATTTTATTCTCTCCTTCAAGTGCTTATTACTTAACTTCTAATTATTATATTATTTCCTTGTTTTTACTTCTTATCTTCTTAATCTCATTTTCTACTTCAATTAATCTTGTTTACGATTCCTACTCTTAGTATTATAGTTTTTCCTAGTGATTTTGACTCATCTGTGTAATTTGACTTTATAATTCTCTATACTAATCTTATTGCGACTTTAAATCTTAGGTAAGTTACGTTTTCTAAGCTTAGAAATTATATTACTCCTATTTGGCTTAATTCAACTAAAATAAAGCCTATTCCAGTTCTAATTATATAGCTTTCTTCTAATGATTGATATCATCAGTCTGAGATTCTTGTAGGCTGTATTTGGCTTAAAAATCTTTAAGCTAGCTATCTCGATTGTAAGTTAATGACTATACCTCATTTTACAATTCTGATAATTGAACATCCTTACTCTCTAACTGCTTTTCAAGTTCATTTACTTGTTCAATAATCTTAAAGCTATCTTTCTCAAATTCACTTTTCAACTTACTGATCTTGACTGTATACTGCACCTTCAGCTTAGCCTCTTTTTTCCTTTGCTTCTCGATATCCTCGTTTAACTCCATAATTCTCTACTCTAATTCAATCTTATCTTTTTCTATGTTTGAGAGTGAGTCTAATTATTCTGTTAGATCTTAGTTTTACTTCTTAAGGTTATCTAACTGCTACTCCTAGGCTGACATTATTTAGTCTATCTCTTCTAGCAATTTATTGTGCTCTTATTCTTTTCTCTTGATGATTTCTTCGTATGCTTACTTCATAGACTATATTTAAGCAGTCTCTGACTCACTTTACTTGTTCTAATTACTCATGCCTCTATTTTTAAGTAAATTCTCATTCTCCTTTTGCTTTTCTTCCAACAGCTCAAGCACCTTGCAATACCTAATCTGCAGTTTAGTCAACTAGTCATTAACCTCATCAAGTTCACTTTACAGCTAAACATTCATCACTCGATAATCTATCTTCTTATTGATGACTGGAATGTTCTCAACCTTCATGGCTCTTTAAGCAAATTACAAAGACATGATGGTCTCCTCTACATGTTCTTTAGAGGGGCCAATTGTCACTACCAGAGCCGTTTTAGAATTACCACCTAGCGAGTCAGATAAAATTCTCGTAAGTTTTGAATCTCTAAATGGCACATGAGTGTTGGTCTTTTACTCAGTTAATGCATGAATGCAGTTGCCTAGAGCAGCTAAAGAAAAATTGATTTTCTTAGCCTCGTCTAATCTGCTAGATGACACTTATGACTTCTTGACTCTCTCACTTCCAGCTAAATCTACTAGATAAAGCATACTCTGTGTCATCTGATCATAATTTCCATTCCCATTCTCATAGCCAGTATTTATACCATTAGAGGCTTTCTAGTCGAAGTTCTAAATCTTGAATTCCTTTCTCTTCTCAATTTTCACCATAAACACGGCATGACTTCTGCTTGAATGCGCATTTAATTTTGTAAACGAAGTGCTTCGATTCTTTTCACCATTAGAAAACACTTGCATGCCCCTCTTAGTAGAATTAATGCTAACCCATTGGAGGCCTGAAACAAATACACCTTGTATTGGATCTTCTCTAATCTTAACTTCTGCATTATCTGGCTCAAGTAAGTCTTAAATCTATATAAAAACGGCTTAACAAAAATGTTATAGTCATACCATTTCCATATAAATTTATAGAAAAGCTACTGATATATCATATGTATTTTATGATCCCTCATCATCTTTAATACGCTAGAATAGATACTCAAGACTTCTCGGAATGATACCTCTCTGCTCATTACTTATTGGGACGTAACTGCCCACCATAGTGTGAGTCTTGCCAGTCCCAGTTTATCCGTAAGTAAATATAGTCCCATTGAATCCTTCCAAGACACTCTAATGATTATTATAGATCAAGCTAATAAGTATACATCAATAACAGGCACTGCAACTTAATTAAAAACGTCGCTTTATGTAATATTAGGATCCATTAATGAATCCAATTGAAAGGTTTTCCTCTCATTAAAGTCTTTTCTGATCTAAATGCATTTCCTCTGAGGATCGAATATTTCTACTGAGGTCTGCTTCTCATCAGAATTAGGTGGCCTCATTCTAATTGTAATGCATTAGCTATAATTTAATGTACTATACCTTAAATGAACAACAACCTTTTCATGCTTGTTTTTAGTTGAAGATTTCTGAATAGAAGAGGATACAGATGAAGCCTAAGTTGATAAATACGAGTTAACTGAACTCATATTATTTGAACTTTGCACTTTTTTCATATTTGAAATTATATATTATCATTTAGCTCATCAGTTGAAATCAATCATGATGGGGTTTTGGGGTTTTGGGG